ATCATAATTTAAGGTTAAATTTTTATATTATTTACTAGAACTATGCATATTAGGTTACTTTTATTAATGTCATAGCAATAATAACTATAAAAATGAGAATCTCAACTATAAATTATTGCACTATGCAGTTATAGTTGCAAATATCACACATTTTTTTCTCAGTGCAGGAGTTGGATATATTCTGTAAAATAAATCATAATAATCATATATTAATCATATGAATATATATATATATATATATATATATATATATATATATTGTGACGATGCCGTCACGACGGACGTCCACCCACCAAAAAGACCGCGTGACGCGAGCCGAGCGGCCGCGTCGGTCGAGAAATCAAGAGCCCCGCCGGGGATTTTCAGAGAGGCGAGCGCGTTAGTTTGTAATCAAAAGCATTATTGTTAATCCTATTTGTCTAAATTATATGGTTTCGGGAGCAATAAATCATCGCCGGCGATACCAAAGAACAACCTGGAAGCCTATAAGAAAAGCAGTCTTGCCGAATCATCTCCGATCAAAACATCGGCCGTGGAAAACAAGGGTCGGCGATACTCGATCAGCCTCGCACAATTTCGGTCCATCGGCCCAGCATCCCAGGGCCGGCCGGCTAGGACGGGCGCCGAAAGCACCCCGCGAAGGGGCTAAACCTCCTCGGAAAAATCTGGAAAATCGCTACCCTCCACTGGAGAGGGAAGGAGGCAACAAAAATCGGCCCTGACGGGAGAATTCCCGACCACCTTGCCTTGAAAAACGCACAGAGGCAGCGGACCGTCGGAGGCGCGGGACCGCGGGCGCACGATGCGCCCTTGCGCCACGCTCGAAAATCTGAGCGCGCGAGAACGGGCCTAGCACCCCTCTTGATGGGATGCAGGGCGAATAGCTAGTAATAAATACGGCGATTCCGAGAGAATGGGAGACTTGTTCTTCGAGATTTTCGGCGAAATTTGATTGAGAGTATCGCGGACGCTCGGCACGAAAGGAGACGAATTGGCGGAAACCACGAGTGTAGAATCCAACGATGAGGTCGCCCGGCTATCTTCGTGTATAATTATGAAAATTTGTACGCCGTTCACCGATACGGCTCGCGGATCGACTCCTCTGGCCGGTCGCGATTAGTGTTTCGTTTGTATAAAATTTGCGGTAGTGAAAAGAAGTTGAGTGCGACCGTAGTCAAGGGGCGACAGTGATCCGTCGATCGGTCTCACCCGATATACTCGTTCGCCTCTCCGTTATTCGTGTGACTCGCGTTGGTGAAGAATCTGTAAAATCGAGGCTCCCGCCGGTGCCGTGCGTGCACCGGCGGGAGCGTCTTATCCTTTCAATACGCGAATTCGGCGTTCCGACGGACCAGTTTATATTGCCGTTCTTTCAGTAGGTTACATCGTCTTAGCGTTATTTCTGTTACTGCAATTACATAATATAAAGTATTAAGTGTTCATTTCCGTTTTCGATAATTCTAAGATCTTGAATTTCTTTCTGTTTTTTTGGTACTCGTAATAGCGCGCCTCGTTCGGTTTTCCGAAATCGTAAGCGCTCGCGCGCTTCTTTCCGTTCTCCGTAATTGCAAGAGCTCGCGCACTTCTTTCGATTCTCCGTAATTGTAATGTTCAGTGCGCTTCTCGCTATTCTCCGTAATGATAAAGTTTCGCGCATTCGAATCTGTTTACCGTAATTATAAAGTCTTGCGTATTTGACTCTGTTTGTCGTCATTATAAAGTCATAGCTTTCTTTTCGATTGGTTATCTTAAGCGAACATTTGCGGTGAATCACGCCTCATTATTCATGTTATTTTTGATTGGATTATATATTTCATTTGCTTGTCTTTAATCGAAGTATTGTGAATCTCGTTTCTATCTGATTTGTCATTCGATTTGGCTTTTATATTTTTCTCTCATCTATTATTTTTCTATTAATAAATCTGTTATATGGCCTTGTTAAATTCGCGTAATTTATTTGAATATTAATCCCCTGTGGTTGTCGATAACCGATTTTGTGTCTGTCGCACATCGAATTAGCGGAATCTCCGCATAATCAATTGGCTCGCTCTAAGAACTCCTCCCCTCTACCGTTAGGCGAGCTAGTCAGCCCGTGGCGAAGCAGGCTATTATCTTTCGCGCTGTTTAAAAATTTCGTGGAAAACTGATGCGTGAAAGACCGCATCTGGCGTCCAACCTATCGAGATAACGAAACTGCCTCCGCTCCGCCGCGGCCCGCGCGAGCACCCTTCATCCCTGTTCCTCTGAGCGCGAAAATATTACATTCACCCTGTGTTTGACGGCGTTTTAACCAATTAAAATTAGACTCAAGAAGGAGAAAAACGTCGCAATATATATATATATATATATATATATATAAAACTATTACATATAATATATATATATATATAAATATAATTATTACATATAATATATATAAATATAAATATACATACATTTTTATTGGAAGTATGATGCGGACGATGCTGGCAAATATCCTGATTGCACTGACAGTGCGCGCACATATCCTGGTTGTACGGGCGGTGCGTGTACATATCCTGATTGCATGGGCGATGCGTACATATATCCTGGTTGTAAGGGCAGTGCCTGCACATATCTTGATTGTACGGGCGATGCGTGCACATATTCTAGTTGTACAGGCGGTGTGTGCACATATCTTGGATGTACAGGCGGTGCGTGCACATATTCTGGTTGTACAGGCGATGTGTGCACATATCTTGGATGTACAGGCGGTGCGTGCACATATTCTGGTTCTACAGGCGATGGGTGCACATATTCTGATTGTATGGGCAGTGTGGGTCGCAATGCACGTCCACGTGCAGCATATTTTTGTTTCTTCTTTTCGCGGGTGACTGCTCTGCGAACCGCTTCATTAATGCGCTGTAAAAAAAATATATATTAATATAAAAATAAAATGTATACATAAATAATCGACGCACAATACACATATGCATACATACATACAAGTAATCTTTCCAATCATATATTTCCCTTATAATTTATTAAAATATTATGATATTCACCTTGTTTATGTTTTGTTTCTGTCTCACGTCCTCTAGGTCCCCTAGTACCGACGTCGCCGTCACCGTTGATACTCTCCCGTCGGTAGACAGCGGCGTCGTCGCTGTTGACACTCTCCCATCCAATGATAACGGCGCTGTCGCCGTTGACACTCTCCCGTCGGCGGACAGCGGCGCCGTCGCCGTTGACACTCTCCCGTCCGTTAATAGCGGCACCATTGCCACTCTTCCGTCGGCGCATAGCGGTACCATCGCCATTGACACTCTTCCGTCGGCGCATAGCGGCGCCGTCGTCGTTGACACTCTCCCATCCGTTAATAGGACCGCCATCGCCGTCGCCGTTGACACTCTCCCGTCCGCTAATAGCGGCGCCATTGTCATTGCCACTCTTCCGTCGGCTGGTAGCGGCGCCATTGTCATTGCTACTCTTCCGTCGGTTGGTAGCGGCGCCGTCGCCGTTGACACTCTTCCGTCGGCTGGTAGCGGCGCCGTCGCCGTTGACACTTTTCCGTCGGCTAGTAGCGGCGCCGTCGCTGTTGATACTCTCCTGTCCGTTGAAGACGACGCCGTTGTCGCCACCGTCCTCACTTTTGCTGATAGTGGCGACAACGACGTCGTTTCTGTCGTCTTTTTTAGTCGGATGCTGCCTTCGCTTCTTGCTGAAATAGATTTATAATTAATATATATATATACAGGGTGGAGAAAAAGTATGGAAACAAACAATTATTTCCGAAACTAATCATTTTTCGACAAAATGTCTTAGACATAATTTTTATGGTATGAAAAGATGTATTATGTGGCATAGACGGCATGACCTTGAAATGACCCTTACGAGCTGCATACAAATAACGTAAAAAATTTCAAATGGAACTCGTCAGTTTTTGTTACAGATTCTTGTAGCTGATGTCGAAACGTTTACAAAACACTGCATATGAGCCCCATTCCCTTAAAAACTTATAACTTTATCTTGTCTTAACTGGTTGGATGAATCGCACTTATCTTACCTTAACTGGTTGGATGAATCGCACTTATTTTGTCTTAACTGGTTGGATGAATCTCACTTAATCAACTTTTATCGACAAGGACAGATAAAATCGTATTTTCTCTTTCTCTCTTTCATGCCTGTGATAATAGTGTATACGTATACTCATGATTGCACTCCCTCGTATTTTTTATTTCGTTTTCTCGATCATATACTCATTCTGTCTCTTTTTAATCTTTCACTCACTACATATCGCTCAACTTCATGCTTCACATTACATGCGTCTCTTTCTCTCTCTCTCCCCCCCCTCTCTCTCACTCACTCACTCTCTCTCTCTCTCTTTTTTTGCTCGGTATATTCTTACATTCGCTCATGTTACTTTTACTGTTTTTTGGTTCTTATTACTCTATATCAAAAAAAGCTTTGTACATGTATGCATTTTTATTTTATAATATTTAATATAAAATATTTAATTTGTCTCTCTTTCTCTCTGTTTTATTATAATGACTACACCTATGTAATACAATTTATATATATTGTTTACATTTGCAGTAAGAATAATATTTATGATAATTGATAACAATTCACAACTATTTAGCAAAAATAAAGTCGCCCATTGCCTTCACACGGTGCAACACCTAAAACAAACTTTGTATACTATTCTATAAATGTAGAAGTATGAATCATAAGTGTGAATGTGTACATGTGTACATGTGTACATACATCTCAGTGTGTTTGTATTTTAAATGTTACATTTTTTTATATAGGTATATATGTTGTGTGTGTCGGAGGCGCAGAGACGTTAAATGTTACATTTTTTTTTATAGGTATGTATGTTGTGTGTATCGGAGACGCAGAGACGTTAAATGTTACATTTTTTTTATAGGTATGTATGTTGTGTGTGTCGGAAGCGCAGAGACGTTAAATGTTACATTTTTTTATATAGGTATATATGTTGTGTGTGTCGGAGGCGCAGAGACGTTAAATGTTACATTTTTTTATATAGGTATATATGTTGTGTGTGTCGGAGGCGCAGAAATGTATGTTGCGTGTGTTGGAGGCGCGGAGGCGTATGTTGATTGTGTCGGAGGCGCGGAGATGTATGTTGTGTGTGTCGGAGGCGCGGAGACATATGCAACGTGTGTCGGAGAAACATATCCTGCGTGTGCTGGAGCCATAGAAATATATCCTGCGTGCGCCGGAGTCGTGGGCACATATCCTGCGTGTGCCGGAGTCGTGGGCACATATCTTGCGTGTGCCGGAGTCGTGGACACAAATCCTGCATGTGCCGGAGGATTGGATACATATCCTGCGTGTACCGAAGGATTGGGCACATATCCTGAGTGCGGAGGAGGCGTGAGCACATATCCTGCCTGTGCCGCAGATATGGGCACATATCCTGAGTGCGGAGGAGGCATATAGGAGCAATTATGCCCTCGTTTTTTTTGCCTGTTCATTGCACGCTTCACCGCCTCATTGATACACTGAAAAAAAGAAAAATAATACATATAGATATCATTCTTGAAAAAGTTAAAAGCATAATAATAATAATATATTGATACTATACAAATGTGGTTACATGTATTATGTCTTCTTAAAATAAAAGAAAATGTAATCTATATATATATATATACAGGGTGACCCATTTTAACTTAGGCAGCCAAATAACTCGAAAAATAAGCACACTACGAAAAAATGGTTAAAATCAAAATTTCGTCATTTCGAGGGCGACGTACAATGACGTTAAAATCAGCCCCCCCACCCCTCCCCCTGGGCGGTGAGGGGGGGCAAATTTGAAATCTTAAATGGGAACCCCTATTTGTCATTACATATTCTTGTAGCTTATCTCGAGAGCTTTCCAAAACACTATAATTAAGTACTTTTTCATTAAGTACTTTTTGAGTTATAAGGCTTGAAATAATTTCTTAATTTTACATAAACCATAAAATATCTAGTAAACCATTCATTTTTCGATTATCTTACCTTCATACTTTTATGTACAAAATAATGAGAGGAATCAATTGGTGTAAAGAAAACATACAGTTGTTTTTAAGAAAAAATATGGAATTGTTAATTGCAAATTACATATTTTTTCTTAGAAACAACTATGTGTTTTCTTTACACCAATTGATTCCTCTCATTATTTTGTACATAAAAGTATGAAGGTAAGATAATCGAAAAATGAATGGTTTCGCGGCGCCCCCGCACCGGTTGGAACGACAGCTTCTTAGATTGAAGTAAATTCATTACTTCCGGTCCCAGAAAAGTCCTACTCGATCCCGAATCAATTAACGCTGTGACGTCAAGATCCCCTAATTTTACACGAAGATATAACAAAGAGGACGCGTCGCGACAGCCGAAAGCACTATACGAAAATTCACGTGTCGCTTCTTTGTTATCTTTCCTCTCAGCGGGGGTGTTTGCGGTTGACGGAGTCGGCTCCCCCTTTCCGCCCGACTCCCTTAATCTTTTCCCTGGCAATCGGGGCAGTTGCGCAGCGTGACCTCCGCCCTTCCGCACCAGTAACAGTGGAGGCGGGGAGCGGCCTCACAATTTCGCGAGAGATGGCCCGTGCCATCACAGTTCCAGTACTTGGCGGTTGCCAAGCGCGGGTTAGCCGACGGCCCTGCCGCTCCCGTGGGGGCCTTCCCCTTTTTCGCTCCCCCCTTTTGTGTCGAGGCGTTGGCCTCGGTGCTCAGGGCGGCCAGCGGTTCAGCCGCTTTATGCCGACCGGCGTTTCGCGGGGGTTTGTACGCGAGGTCCGGGAACAAGGACTTTTCGGGCAACGGGGGGGCTCGGTAGCGTTGGGTGGACTGATAACCGTCCTCCGCGCGCGTCGCCAGCATCTCGAGTGTATCGAGATCGACAGCCTCCTCCCGGCGAACCACTATCTGTAGGCGGGGTAACATGTTTCGGAACGCGTTACTCACTTTCTCCCTCTCACTCCATGGAGGCGATAATTTATTGAAGAGGGCTCCCAGACAGGTTAAATAATCGGCCACCGGGTCATATTCGCCTTGGGTGCGCCGTATAATTTCGTCGCGAAGCGCGAACTGTAAATCGGGATCCCCGAATCGGATTCTCCACGCCTTCTTCAATTGATTCCACGAAGTGAAGGTATCTTTCTTGCCCTGATACCACGACAGCGCAATGCCGGTTAATACGAACGGCAGACAGCGTAAAACGTCCTCATCGGACATTGTTACTAGCTCGCGTCCCTCCTCAATCCGCGTTAAGAAGGCCTCGTCATCTTCCCCGCGAGTTCCCGAAAATTTTAGATTCCATTTTCTCATTACGTCATACGCGGCAGCGGCTGAACTCCGTCCCGCGGATCGCGAGGCTTCGTATCGCACCTGCGATGGTATGGCCTCCCCCATCGTCCCGTGCCCCGCGGGCGTGGGACTGTCGGGGCGCGCGTCCGCCCTCAGCGGTAACTCTAAATGTTCGTCACTCGACATCGTCCTTAGCAGGTGGGCGTCTCCCTGACCCGCGCGAACCCGCCGCACGTGACGCAGTAGCCGGTCTACTAAGGAAAAATACCGACCCTCCGTCGGGAGTCCTCTACTCCGTAATTCGCGAATCAATTGTTCGTAAGTTAATTCGAAAATCCACACGTCCTCCGGGTTATCACTCGGCATGCGAAGAGGATTCAGAAAAGAAAAAGAAAGACAGAAAACCGAAAGAAAAAAAAATTTGGGGGGGAAGGTCCCCGAAATTGGACCGGACTAACGGGAGGACGAACACTAGACTCGTTGCCAAATAAACTCAATTTATCTTAATGCCGCAGATAAGATCATAAATCTCGATAATAATCCAATATATTTGCTCAAGCCGACAATGACTGTATTTGTTTCTCGAGACGATCTCTTCCTCTCGATAATAATTTCCTGTTTATTTGTCAGGATCTCCTTGATAATAAAAAGAAACGCCCGATCTTTCCGAAATCTATCGTTTGTTTCGTTTATCACCTTCGAACAATGGTTCACTCTATTTGTAAGAAGTTTCGTAATATAGATGTCAAGTTTTTCCCCGTGTAGAAAAACTTGACGTCGAGATAATCCACAAAATAATCACAGAGATATACGAGCAATAATACACTCTGGAACAATAGCGAACAAACAGCACGAGATAGCGTTAAGAAAAAAAAATAGATATATCGACAGCGCTAAGTAAATGGACGGTGAGATCGACAGCAATTCCGGGAATAACACAAAAAAAAACTGTCGAAATAATATTCTCCTCGACTCCCGAATTTCTTATTCCTCGCGAATTACGAATTTTTCGCTGCAACTCGCTCTTAGGGGCCCCACGTTGGGCGCCAATTTTTGCGACGTTTTTTTCCTTCTTTCTTGGTTCTAATTTTTGGTCGGATAGAACGCCGTCAAACACAGGAGGAATATGCGATTTCCGCGCTCGGAGGAACAGGGATGAAGGGTGCTCGCGCGGGCCGCGGCGGAGCGGAGGCCGTTCGATAGCTCGATAGGTTGGGCGCCAGATACGGTCTTTCACGTATCAGTTTTTCTACGGACTTTTTAAGCAGCGCGAAAGATGATCGCCTCCTTCGCCACGGGCTGGCTGGCTCGCCTAACGGCAGAGGGGGGGTTCTTCGAGCGAGGCAATTAATTAATTCGAGGCGCGAGAGACGCACAAACGGATATCTAGGACCGCAGGGGGCGAACATTCAAATAAATTACGCAAACTTAATTAGGCAATATAACAGATTTATTAATAAGAAAAAGAATAACAAATGAGAGAGAAATATAAAAACAAAATCCAATCGAATGACGTGTCCGATGGAGACAAGACTCACAATACTGCGATTAACGACAACCAAATGGAGTATAAAATATAATCGAAGATAACCGGAATAATTAATCGAAAAGAAATCTAAGACGGTATAACAGTGGTAAACCGAGTCAAATACGCTTTATAATTACGGTAAACAGACTCGGATGCGCGAACTCTATTATTACGGAGAATAGAGAGAAGCGCCCTGAATATGACAAGTACTGAGAACTGAGAGAAAGGCGCGAGCGCTTGCAATTACGAAGAACGAAAAGAAGCGCGCGAGCGCTTACGATTTCGGAGAACCGAACGAGGCGCGCGATTACGCGTACGAAAAACAGACAGAAATACGAGATCTCAGAATTACCGAAAACATACATGAACATTTGATACTCTATTTTTTTTTATTTAATTGCAGTCGCCGAGATAACTCCAAGACGATGTAAGCTACTGCAAGAACGGCAATCTCTAATCGATCGGAACGCGGAATTCGCGTCTCGCAACGCTAAGGCGTTCCCGCCGGTGCACGCACGGCCCGGCGGGTGTCGACAGCTTAAGCCTCCGACAGCCGATTATTCGCACGTCCGCGGTGAGCGGACCGCGGGTCGCCAACAAAGAAAACGCACGTAGAGAGAGATGGTCGAGAATCGAGGCCCGTTTTGGTCGCGCAACTTCCGGTCCGCTGTCACAATTTCCAAGGTACTCACCAATTCGCCGCTCAAACTGACGCGAAACGTCTCCCCTGGGGTGGCGGTCGACAGCACTCACAATCGGTCGGAGTCGCTCCACTCCGACCGGCGATAGCCTCGAGATCAAAATTCTGCACTTAGCACGCGTCGCACGGATAACGGAGAGGCGAACGAGTATATCGGGTGAGACCGATTGACGGATCACTGTCGCCCCTTGACTACGGTCGCACTCGACTTATTTTCACTATCGCGAAATCTACGCAAACGAAACTCTAATCGCGACCGGCCAGAGGGGTCGACTCGCGAGCCGTACCGGTGGACGCCGTACAAATTTTCGAAATAAAACTCTAGATAGCCGGGTGACCTCACCGTTGTACTCGTCTCTATTTGCTTCCGCCACGTCGTCTTTTTCCGTGCCGAGCGTTCGCGATACTCTCTCCTCACTCTCTTCGAAAACTCCCGCAGAACAAGTCTCCTTCTTCTCTCGGAACCGCTCTATTTATTCTTAGAGAACCGCCCTGCACCCCATCGAGAGGGGTGATAGGCCCGTTCCCGCGCGCTCGAATTTTCGAGCGCGGCGCAAGGGCGCATCATGCGCCCGCGATCCCGCGCCTCCGCTGGTCCGCCGTTCCGGCGCGCTTTTCACCGCCCGGTGCTCGGGAATTCTCCTGTCCGGGCCGTCCTTTGCGACCTTCGTCTCTCTCCAGCGGAGGGTAGCGCCTCTTCCTGACTTTGCCGAAGAGATTTAGCTTCTTCGCGGGGTGCTTTCGGCGCCCGTCATTGCTGGCCGGCCCTGGGATGCTGGGCCGATGGACCGAAAATGTGCGAGGCTGCTCGATTATTGCCGACCCTTGTTTTTCACGGCCACTGTTTTGATCGGTGATGATTCGGCAAGGCCGCTTTTCTTGTAGACTTCCAGGTAGATCTTCGTTGAAGATTTATAGCCTCATGAACAATATAATTTCGACAAATAGGATTAGTAACAAGGTTTTTGCTTATAAACAAACGCGCTCGCCTCTCTGAAAATCCCGGCGGGGCTCTCGATTTCTCGACCGGCGCGGCCGCTCGGCTCGCGCCACGCAGTCTTTTTAGGGGGTGGACGTCCGTCGTGACGGCAACGTCACAATATATATATATATATATATATATATATAGATTACATTTCTACATCTACGTAATACTTCTGCTATCTATAAATATATATATATATATATATATATATATATATAATTTATTTATATATAGAGTAATAAAGAAATAAAGTATGTATCACATCAAATAAATTATAGACGCCATTACCAGTGTCAAACAAGACGCGCGCGCGCGCACACACACACACACACACACACACACATAGAATAGAAATAAACATACACTGCCGGTCGTAATTCGTTTTCGTAAAGAAGAAACAGAGGTAAACATAGAAGTTCTACGTTTATCTGTTTTCATTTCAAGGAGAGAGAGAGAGGGGGGAGGAAGGGAGGGTGGGAGGGAGAGAGAGAATATTTTTATTTATAATTTACGCGCGCGCGCGCGCATGTGTGTGTGTATACATATATATAAAACTTTTAATTACTAACCTTTCTCATGTTCTGTCGTGGTCCCGGCTTCGCCGTATTTTTGTTATGCATCGGCAATGGCATCGCCGTTGTCATCGTCGTCGTTGTCACCGTCGTCGTCGGTGTAATCGCCACTGCCGTCATCAGCGTCGTCGCTACCGCCGTCATCGGCGTCGTCGCTACCGCCGTCATCGGCGTCGTCGCCACCGCCGTCATCGGCGTCGTCGCCACCGCCGTCATCGGCGTCGTCGCCACCGCCGTCATCGGCGTCGTCGCCACCGCCGTCATCGGCGTCGTCGCCACCGCCGTCATCGGCGTCGTCGCTACCGCCGTCATCGGCGTCGTCGCCACCGCCGTCATCGCCGTCGTCGCCATCGCCGTCGTCGGCGTCGTCGCTACCGCCGTCATCGGCGTCGTCGCCACCGCCGTCATCGCCGTCGTCGCCATCGCCGTCGTCGGCGTCCTCGCCACCGCCGCCGGCGTATCAGGCGCCCCGGTCTCCCGTACTGCAGCGGATATACTTCCCTCGCTTTTTGCTGCAAATAAATATTTATCTCCATTAATTTTACAGAAAATTGGTGAAAAAGCTAATGAGAGGAGGAGAGAGAAAGAGAGAGTAAATTTTAAAGTAAATTCACCATCTCTTTATATTATTATTTGAGAATAAAAGTACTTACATCTACCCATTATTCTTCGCTTGCGAGGTTCGTAGTTGCACGGTTTGAAGACGAATGACGACTGCCAGACACAACGCATAGCACGAGCCCTCGGGCCAAAAGCGTTGAGCGTACCACGTGAAAAGTTGTTGACCGTTTTTATTTGTTTAAACGTAACTTGATCAATGTTCTCTTTTTTCAAGCGAGCTCGAAGAAAAACTAAAAGAGCTTATCTTATCTGACAGTCGCGCTACTTGGTCGTAAAAAATTAAAATTTTTATTTTGCTACAGTTTTAATTTTATATATTTAAAATAATTTTAATGAATTAATGACGATTTTGCGATTAAAATGACACCAAACATGACATACATCGGGTCATTTTTAATTAAATTAATTAAAAAATTTTAATTATATATTTAATTAAAAATTACTTGATTTATGTCGTGTTTGGTGTCATTTAAACCGCAATAATCTCACTAATTCATTGCAATTATTTTCAAATTGGAAAAGAGCGAAATAAAAATTTTAATTTTTATGATATTTAAATCCAGAACAGTTGTTATAGATAAGGAAAGTCTCCGATTAGAAACGAGAGCAAGAAGGAATAAGGAGCAAGCGAGATGACGAGACATCAAAGAGTTCCGAAGTCTCGCTCGCCAGGCTCACTTTTTCTTATCTTCGTATGTATACATGTCAATTTATAATGGAAAATAAAATTTTTTTATTTTGCATTTCTTCGACTTGAAAATAATTGCAATGAATTAGTGAGATTATTGCGGTTTAAATGACACCAAACACGACATAAATCGAGTGATTTTTAATTAAGTATATAATTAAAATTTTTTAATTAATTTAATTAAAAATGAACCGATTTATGTCATATTTGGTGTCATTTTAATCGCAAAATCGTCACTAATCAATTATTTTCAAATCGAAGAAATGCGAAATATAAAAATTTGATTTTCTATAGTACCGCGGAATCAGGCTGCGCGGCGGCTGTAATATATATATTTACGGAGCAATGATGCCAGAATGGATACGCTGACAACAGCAAATTATTTCGGATGGAGTTTAGCTTGACGCCTCTCTACCCTCGACTGTTCTACAGGAACGCCGTGCTATATTCTATGCGAAATAATTTGCTGTTACCAGCGTATCCATTCTGGCATCACTGTTACTGAGCGACAGTACTTGTTGTGACGTACGCGTAAGAACAAGTAACGCGGGAAAAGTCGATCGTAACAAGTTGCGTTATTAATAAAAAATAACGAACATTATACACGGTGGGCCATTTTAATCGATGCACTCGAATATCTCGAAAACAGCACTCTTCAGAAAGAAATGTTTCAAACAAAAATTGTAGGGTGTGAAGGGGGACATAAGATGGTTTGACCTTGGAAAGTCATTTGAAGGTCAAGAAAACGCATGATTGTTTTTATAACAAAAAGTGCATTGTAAATTACACATTTTTTATTATACTAGAACAATACAGGCGCGCGCTACGCGCGCGCTATTTATTTATTACAATTGATACTGCATATATATATAATGGTATATACATATATATATATATATATATATATATATATATATATATAATTTAAATTGGAAAATGGCAAGTTCTCATCAATACAAATTATATCGTTATCTCCTACCATATCGCATGGTAGGCGGAACAGAATACCATAGATGTAGCTAGACTTACGTTTTGGGGTAAGTTAAAAATATTATTATAGCTTTGATCCTAAAAACGAGAAAACCTTTATACAATATAAATCATTGTAATTACATTGTAGCAATATCTCTGTAATGTTTCATTGCAATATTGCAAATTACAATAAAACATTACAAAGACATTGCTACAATGTAATTGCACAGAAAAATCCACAAAATGTCAACACAGTTGCAAGATAACATAAACATTTCAAAAAAATTTTTAAATCAAAATTCTGCAATTATATTTTTTTTAAATAAAATATACAAACTATAGGTAATAAAGTAAATTATTCAATTTTTACTTATTTTATCCTTATAATTGTTTAAATATTACAAAATCAAATTATATAAAAAAGTAAGATTCACTTTAAGAGTTTGATTTTAAAAAAAATGAAATTTTTAATCTTCAAATCTATAAAATATAAAACTTTTACTTGTAAAAGTTATAAATTTTCATTTATAAAAAATAAATATAATACATAATTAGCATTTGCTTAAAATCATTCAATTTTTTTATATATGATAACTTTTCATATAGCATATAATTTTTTACAAATTGATAACTCAAGTATATAAATTAATAAATATCTCATGCTATATAGTACATTACAATAAATGAAAATAGAAATCTAGACATTTCTTCTTAATAAATTAAATTGTAAAAAAAAGTATTATAATACTTTTACATTTGGTATGATGCAACAAAAATGTTGATTACGCTGTATATATAACTGTGTATATAATAATAATAATAATAAAATTATTATAAGTATGATTAAGTAAGCACAATAGACATAAAAATAAATAAATTATAAATATACTATCGCATAAAATTATAATATATAACATAGATGTATAAAACAAAACATGATATTGTAAATTTATTATAATAAAAAAGTTGTAGAACATCAAACGAAAAATAAATTCAATATTAAAATATAAAAATAACATCAAAAACTTAGCTACTTTGTTTTTAATTTGAACTATTGAAAAGAATGTGAAATAAATCGAAATGTATAGAGCTCTATTACTTCTATTTGAATAGTTGAAATATATTTGTATCAGAACCTGTGAAAGATTTCAATTATACTTTTCATTATTTAATATAGTATTTATATACTTATTTTGTATAATATAATTTACATATTATATAATTGCATATTTACTTCACACACGTTATACATATTTAAATGAAACATTTGTTATTATATCAAATCAAAATTAAATTGATTCTATAGAATTTAATATTGAATTTTATTGCAATATTTTAGTTTATGACTCCTTTCTCAATAATAATAATTAATATAAATTAAGTAATACAATATATAAGTTTTATAATATTATTAAGCTTTAAAATAAGAATTATTTTAATTTTCTTTAAATAAATATTATTACATATTTAAAAATTTTAATAAATTATTTATAAAAATAGTATACATATTATGAAATAAACAATGCTTTATTTATCATGAAAACATATAAAAAAATAATATAATCTAATAAATTTAAAGAATCCTGATAAAATCAATTAGCATATATTGTAAAAGAATTTATTCACTTGAAACTAAATTGTTTCCAAATTAAAATCAATAAATATACAAATATATAAATATTAATTTATGTATTACATATTTATATCTTTTAAAATTACAAAACTGAAAAAAAAATATATATAAATTTTTTTATATAAAATTTGTATATATATCAAATAAAAGATAATAAAATGTAATATTATAAAGATCTTCATTTGAATAAAAAGAAACATCAACAAATATTTTCCCGTATATAAAAATTAATATATTTTAATAAAAATTTTTTATAAATTATAAACTTATTAATTAATTTATTATCAAATATGATTACAATTTAAATAGCTGATTGTTAATTTTTATATTTGATTTATTATATCATTAAAAGATTAAGTGCAAATTTCAATTTACATAATTTAATCGATGTTTAATAATAAATAATTAATAAATTATTAATTTTAAAAAAATTTTTGATAAAAACTATTAATTTTTATATAAGGTAAAATATTTGTTAATATTTCTTATTCAAAGGTCTTTGTAATATTACAATTTGTTATAATTTATTTAATATATGTACAAATTTTATATAATAAAATTTATATATATATTTTTTTTTTTCAGTTTTATAATTTTAGAAGATATACATTTGTAGTACAAAAATTTATATTTATATATTTGTATACTTATTATATCTTAATTTCGAAATAATTAAAGTATTGCAATAAAATTCAATATTAAATTTTATAGAATAAACAAATTTAATTTTGATTTTATATATCAACAAATGCTTCATTTAAATATGTATAACGTGTGTAAAACAAATATACATATATATAATATATAAATTATATTATATAAAATAAGTACATAAATACTATATTAAATAAAGAAAAGTATAATTGAAATCATTCACATGTTCTGATACAAATATATTTCAATTATTCAAATTGAAGTAATAGAGCGCTATATACATTTTGATTTACTTCACATTCTTCTCAATGGTTCAAATTAAAAACAAACCAGCTGAGTTTTTGACGTTATTTTTCTGTCTTAATATTGAACTTATTTTTCGTTTGGTGTTCTGCAACTTTTTCATTATAATAAATTTCTAACACAATATCATGTTTTGTACATCTGTTTTACATATTATAATTTTATACGACAGTGTATTTATAGTTTTTTTTATTTTTGTGTCTATTGTGCTTACTCAATCATACTAATAGATTTTTCATTATTATTATTATTATTATATTACACAATTATATATACAGCGTATATAATCAATATTTTTGTTGCATCATACCAAATCTAAAAGTAATTATAATACTTTTTTCAATTTTATTTATTAAGAAGATATAGAATGAAATCTAGATTTTCATCTCCTATTTATTCTAATGTCTTCTATTTATTGGAATGTACTATATAGTATGAGGAATTTATTAATTTATATAGTTTCTCAATGTTTATTATATACTTGAGTTATTAATTTGTAAAAAATTATATAATATGTTATATGAATAGTTATTACATATAAAAAAATTGAATGATTTTGAACAGATGCTAATTATATATTATATTTATTTCTTATAAGTAAAAATTATAACTTTTATAACTTTTAAGTAAAAATTTTTTATTTTAGAGATTTAAAGATTAAAAATTTCATTTTTTTTTAAATAAAGCTCTTTAAGTGAACTTACTTTTTTATATAAAATGATTTTGTAATATTTAAACAATTATAAGGATATAAAATAAGTAAAAATTGAATAGTTTAGTTTATTATCTATA